AAACGCGTGGTTATTAAAGTTCAGTCAAAATGTACGTGAATATTGCGATCGAAGTGCGCTGTCCAGAGTTTATTATATTATAGTAAAATTTAACTTGACGCATGGTATGGTTTATATTACATGTTCACTTCATTTCGAATAAAAAAATCACCATTGGAACATTCATTGGTGAATCACAAGTATTTAAAATATTTTCTCGACTTTCCGTAGATACCCGACTACTATCATTTTTAATGATTTAAATGCGCCAATGTTTATGTTTGCGTAATTATTACGAATGCAACGCATTATCAAGTCGGTAATATTGAAATATTCACAGACCCAATACCCCAGGTCAGTGCCCTAACAATAGTAAAAATTAACTTGAGTTTGCGTAATTATCATGAAAGCAATACATTTAATACAAAGTTGAAATATTCAGAGCTGGTACAATATTGTAAACAAATTTGCGTAATTAGAAAAGCAGTGCAGTGCACAAGTAAACGACGTTGATATATTCAAAGCCTGTACAGAGTTGCATACAAGTTGCATAATTACAGTACCGTCGGATATAATAAAAATTTTACTAGATCGACGCGCGGACCGCAAAAGAAAAAGGTTGCTAAGGTAACGCACCAGTTCAGCGCGTGACTTGGGGTCAAACTTCGGTCAACACACACTTGATCACCGCATCACCGCGCAGCAAGTTTCGCAAAGAAGTACTTCAAGTTCAATTGCGTCCCAAAATTATGTCGCTAATCACTCAGTTGTCGCAGCGTGTGTTGTGTCATGTCCATGATGCACCCCGTTTCGACTTTGACTTGCTTTTCCTTGTTCTTGTTCACGTAAAATGCGACCTCTCACCAATGTATTAAAACACTTTGAATTTATACTTTGCATGATTATATTTGGTCAACGCGAAACATTATTTTTTCTAGACCATTTCTATCAACGCAGGGTTATTTTTTTAGACAAGATGGGCCTCGTAATATCTGCCAAAAGATCGCCCGGGCGATCTTTTGGTCCACATTTTTCTAAAAAAAAAACGAATCCTCCATAAGATCGCCCAGGGTGGGGTATCAGCCGAATCCGGTAATTACCACAAATTGGATTTTAATGAAACTTTTAAAGAGAACTATGCAGAAACCCAATTAGTTTTTGGTAAATATTTATGCTTATTAATCACCTAATTAACATAATTAATTAACACTGATATCTCAATTACTGATCATCACATTTGAATAAAATTTGGTACATAAATGCTCTAGGACAATAGACAGGCCTGATTAATTTTGGGTTAAAATTTGTTCATATTAATTCTCTAATTAGCATAATAATTCATAATTTTCTTGTTCTGTTCTGTTCTTTTCCATCAATATCTCATGTACTAGTAATTTTGAATTAATTTGTAATGTGTCTCTAATACTCTCTCAGCACACAGGAGTTCTTTCTAAGCTTTCTTTGATTCATTTTTAGTCTAGTTGAAATTTAGTCTAAAAGTCGTAATCCTATCCAACTCAATCCTTAATCTTATGAATGCAGTGACATTTAATCATTTTACTAATTAGAATATTTCCATTCCATAATTAGTCCCTGACTGGACACAGTCTGAGGGCTTATAGATTGCATTCTGTTTGTCCCTCATATTTTCTCATGAACCGATTTGTTTTTCCAAACATGGTACATAGTTGATACATTTGTTTGTTTTTTCGATCAGATTTTGGCCTTATTTGACCAATTATCTAGAGCAGACCGTTTCTGTTCACACTTGTTGGTGTACTAAGACACATCTAGTATTTTTCAAAATTTCTTCACAATTAGCCAACTGGTTGACATTTCTGATAATTTTGTATGTAAATTGAATGCAATCACTATTTAAACTTCGTACCAAGGTAATGATGCAAGTTGATTTTTGTGGCGACCCCATTCAAAATAAGGAATTTTAATCGTTTAATTTTAATTCTGCTTATATCTCAAATTCACACTGTCCAATCAAGCAATTGTGATCTAATTAAGTTAATCTCTAATAAATGTTATTTACATGTCTACTGTTATTGTTAGGCGATGCCAATATGGATTCGGAAGTCAAGATATTAATGACTAGCTTATTATCAACAATGAAAGAATTACCCACTGAATTAAATGAAAATGTGCACTTTGGTAGGTTCTGAATCTGAATCTGTACCAGTCATTTATCTTCACTCAATTATATGACGAGTAGAAAATTGGATAAAAATAACGCGATAAAACAACGCGATCTGTATGCATGATAATTAACCTCATTCCCTAAACTTCCTTCCCTTCACATGTAGTAAGTAAAACATCCTGGTGAATAATGGTTTTCCTGGTATCATATCCACTCATAATAATTACTGTCATTGACTCATGCATTTAATCTTTATTTCCTACTAGGTGATAAAGGGGCTGATTTTGAGGTGAAAGTCATGATATCAGAATTACTATCAACAATGAAAGAGTTTCCTACACCATTCAATGAGAGTAAGATGTTTCAAGGAGATAAAAACCAAGCATTGCAACTAAAAGTGAGTTTATTCATTTTTTTTCTAGGACTACCGCAGATATAAATTTCCAATCAATATCATTATCACTATTATGATTTAGAAACCAACTTCATTTCATTTGACAGTATCATCAATTCCCCAATTTTTTCTTGAAAACTATCAGCCTGATAGTTTTGATATTGTCATTTTGGCACCCTGGGTGGACATTCATCAGTTTTGTTCATTTTGAAACAATATCACAAATTCTTTAATTTTAGCGAATGTTTTTGTCTTTTTCAGGATCAATTGTTTTTTTCCCACTTCTTCTTGAAAACTAAAAGCATGACTGTTAACAGTACCCAATAATGTTATCATAATTAATTCTGAATTATGTAAAGCAGCAGATATGACAACAGAGCTATCTCGACAGACTGGTCACAAAATTTGTATTTAATAAATAGTGTTATCACTGAGGAAAGATGACCCACCATAACACAGCACATCTTTATTAGTCCCCGTGCGTCCGTCCGGAGTCATATCTCAGAATCCCTTGGACCGATTCCGTTCATTCTTTGCATTTGCCTAGTACTTTATGTGGGACATATGCACATGCAGTGGTTTAGCGATTCGATTCAAAATGGCCGACTGGCAGCCATCTTGTTTTTTAAAAATGTTGTATTTTGGACATGCTTTGTCAGTTTTCATTCAAACTTGGTACATAGATTATACATGTTAGGATACATGTCCATGATGATTTATTTCACAATTGGATCAAAGATAGCCGTCTGGCAGCCATTTTGTTTTTTGAAAATGTTGTATTTTGGACATGCTTTGTCAGTTTTCATTCAAATTTAGTACATAGATCATACATGTTAGGATACATGTCTCCGACCGTCC